ATTCAAGGAAATCTTATCTGTTGTCACTGCCACATCAGATGGCCAGCTGGTCATTATGGTTCTGTAGTTCTATAACAAATCAATGAGAAGGAGACAGAAGGCGAAAGTAATTTCAATTCTTGAATGCGGAAAAAGGGAAAATACCTAATATATTCTCTTTATTTAAATGATTTTTATTTATTCTGGGTTCACAAGTTCTTCACTCAGCAATGAATATCTGTTGCATCATGTTACAAGATTACAGTTGCAGGGATGTATTCTATTTATATTTTTGGGAACTTACATGCATTTCTGCACCTTAAAGATGACCTCAGCTCTTATTTTCCAGTGTTGTTAATGGATGGTTCAGGAAAACTGCTGGCATATTATTCATCCCTAAACAAGGGATAAAACTCAGTCATCATTGCTATTGGATTGGATTATGATTATTTTTTTTAGACCTCTGCAGAATTTGGATACACAAGGCAAGTATTGGGAAGGCTTGCAGTATGCATGTAGGAAATACTATACAGACATTTATTTTTAATCATAGCATACATGGTAGGAAGGATAGGGGTTGATGTTCCATAGTGCAGATGAGGAGACAGGTGCCACACCTTGTGGACAACATGTTATATTTTACTAAGTTCAGCAAAAATCTCTGCGCAGATAACAAATTTGGTAAGACAGGTCCCCAGCTGTCACTGCATTGAGATGCATCACAGCATCTAGTGGGTCCTGATCAGTTTGTCACCAGTCTCACTTTGTAGGATGCAATACTTCACCCTAGATACCCTGCTGAAGTAAAGTTTTTCTCAAGCAAGCAATATGGAATATTCTGAAATAGTATTTCAAAATAAACCAGAATAAAATAGAATTTTTGATTTTAACTGTATGTGCCTCTATATATAGATATGTATGTATATATATATTTTTGTCTGTGTATACAATGTATTTGCACACACAAATATGCAAAAGTAAATCAGTTGCATAATCACATAGTTTCTGCCTTTTGAAGTTGTCTGTGTTGTAAGAACTATTTAATGAGACATTCATGTGCATTTACCATTACTGTTGTTATTACTATGAGGCAATAGGGAATTTTGGAGTTAAAATTTTTTCTCTGTCTAGAAGGATCTCATTTCAGAGATAGTTTAGTCAATATAAGTAGAGTATTTAAAGCTTCATTTGATTCCCAGAACAGAGATATTATTAATTTTAACACTGTTGAGCCTGACACATGAGTCCTGGACAGTGCAAAATGGATTTCAGATATTTAGATAATAAAGCTTTAGAATTCATCATTGCAACTGATGCAGTTCATCTTTGTACAAGATGTTTATGCAAGTTCAGGTTGGTAAATCACTAAAATTTCTCTGGAAAAATATTTTTTTTCTTTGCATCTGTAATACTATTGTACCTGGCTTGTTCCTGTGTTCATTATGGTGTGCAGTGAAATAAGTATGGAACATTCATTAAATATGTCACATGATTTCTAAAGATTTTTGAAATGAATGGCCTTGAGAAATAAAATTTCAACATTTCTAAATTAGTCAAATAATGTTTCTAAACTGGTTTTTGAACTTAAAAACCATACTGCAGGTTCTCTTTTAATGATTCTTTTATAAATTGCTTTTTTTGCTTCTTTATAATGCATGGTCCTTTCTGCTTCTGCAGTTTCTGATTTGGTATTTAAGATTGCTCAGCTCAGGCTCTGCAATTTTCTCCTTTTTCTTTTAAACACTTTTCCAAGTGTTTTATTTGAAAAAGAAACCAAAGTGACAAGCATGAATTAATGAAGAATTATGAACAGAACACTACCCTTTTTATTAATAATAAGTATTTCTGTTTTAACAAAGCTGAACAATCTGTCTTGCTATCACTAGTGATAAACCTGTTTCTGGTGGTCTCTTTGAATTGGTGTGGATAGTGTGCCAAATGCTGAAGGAGTAGATGTAGTGACATGGTTTATGTACAGGATGTATTCAGATGTAGTTTAACCACGTAATCAGTCCAAAAAAGAGCCACTTCTGAAGTGCAAGCTGTCTGCTCTGTTAGGTGTCACTGTAGAGAGCAATATGAAAACACTGTGTTTAAATGGTTTTAAGTGTATTATTGAATCTAAGATCAGGTGATACAGAGAAACAAATTTAGGTGGATTGTAAAACACACTGATCCATTTTTTTCTGATTTTTTTTGCAGTCCAATCATCTAAAAATCTCCTTTAATTGAATCGCAGATCTTCTCCTTAGTCTGAAACATTTTCCTTCTAAAAGTGACATGTAAACTTCAATCCAGGAATCATTTATCAGACCATGAATTTTTCATGAGTCAGTAATATGTTATTTCAATAAAAATAGACCTAAAGTTTGAGCAGATAACCACAGAAGAAGTGACGGCTGTTTCAGTACAGTTTTACAGAAGCATCCTCCATGAACTTTTTTAAAGGAGGATAAGAAACCTCAAAGCTTACATAGAGTAGGATACCAGGCATATTACCTTTGCATCCAAGTCCTGTTATTTAGCTGATGGAAAATTAATTTCATTGATATTGTATGCTTTAAGGAAAAAAATCCATCTTGAAAGATATAAGTTTTTCTTACCCACCAAGAAAGTAAATGTTAGGAAGGCATACTCAAACGTGGCAGTCATCTCTTTATATGAAGGACATACATCTGTGCAAATGGCTCTGGTCCTGCAAACCTTGGTGGGCTTTCAGGTCTGCTCCAGCCATACTCATAGAGCCCTTCCTCTTACTGTGGCAGTCTGCAAACACCTGCTGCCCTCCAATATACTCTTTTCCCTTGTTAAGAGCTGCTGTAGGTGCAGGGGTGCTTCTGCATTCCTAAGGCATAAGATGGATGACTGTGCTTCCTCTTTGAGCATGATACTTACTTTGTCAAATGTAGTTATTTCAGTTGAGTTTACAAGTGTGATGTATTGTTGTAGGGACTCTTCCTCCTGAGATACCAAGATAATGGTTTTGCAGGATATTTTGGCCTGCTGAATACGTTTCATGCATTCCCATAGTTATTTTCTTCTTGTGTGCTATTTAAAAATTACAAAATAATTAATAATTTTTTTTAAAAAAACATACTTTAATAATATCATAATGTTGACATAAAATAAGAAAGCCAGGATACTTTTACAATATAGATTATACCTTTTTTTTACCTAATTTGCACGACCCTTACTTTATTTTTCTATTATAGAGTGGTTTCATATAAGTACTGTTTCAGCTAGCATAAGAGATTTCACTGTTAGGAGGTCAGAGTCAAATATTGTTAAGTGGATTTTAGAGGGGCTGGATCATTTGGTGAACAATAACAATTTTAGTTATTCATGCTGAGAGCAAAGTAATTAAATCTCATGCTGGAGGGTAGAGGCCTGCAGCCTGTGCTCTGCTGAATCCAGTGAGAGTTGAAGAGAGCATGATTAGTTATACAAGAGACACAACTCCTTGTTTAGAAGAGGGATGTTAGGTTAATGTTATTAAAAACCGAACAAATAAACACTCAACAGCAGCAAACCCACAAAAATAAAACTAAACTTGTGTAGCATTTAAAATTTATTAGTTACATTGAGGTGAATGTTTCCCCCTTTTCAACAACAAGTCCTTGCCATTACTGGAAGAAAATTTACCTCTCCTGATGGATTGGATATGTGCCATTCTGCCAGTTTTATACTCCTACAGTTTATGGCCACTATTGAAATAGCAAGCTGAAAATTTCCATAGTGATTTGCAAATGTTAAGAAATTAATTTTCCTGACAACTCAGTGGGATATGTGCAGACATTATTTATATGGAAGAAGATTCAGAGCAGTCTTCCCCCTCAAAATGGGGGAAGAAAGAGCATCTGATTCCAGATTTAAGACTTGTGCTAAATAGCTGGAACTGGTCTAAGCTGTACTAATAAAATTCACTAAAATCTGAGCAGAATGATGGCTATGAAAGCTTCACATGTGGCTTAGTCCATGTGTGCTGATTAAAATTAGATGTCTTTATGTTCTCCAAACAGCTGGTTTTCCTGAGATCTAAATTTCAGGGCTCTGAAATTATATGTGGGTAGGTAGATGAATACTGTTGATTTAACAAAAATTCAAGGTATTTCCAGAAGATGGAAGCATTTTATTTTGACGCCTACAGACTAAGATACTGCATTTTGAAAATAATAGAGCCTTTCATGTATCATTTTGAAATGACATTTTAGGACATCTTAAAATAAGATTCCATATACCATTTCTTAAAAATCACAAACTGAAATATTAAAATGTTCTGTAACCTAAATACTTAAGCAATGTTGTTTTTGTTTTTTTATGGATTAAGTAGTGCATTGCAAGTCAGCACAAAATCACATTCTCCAGACTGTTAATTTATTCCCAAAAGGGATATTTCCTAGTATGTCCTACTCACCAGACTGAGGAGTCTCATCAATCACACGCTGGTGCTAGGACGTACCGTGCTAGAAATCCCTTTTAAAGCAGGCAGACCTCTGTTTTCAGGTTATTTGTTTCATCTAAATAAAGCACTTTGTATGGGCTGAAGGGAGGGAAAACATGGGCTGCACTTTGAAGACCTGCCTTCTGCTACCCATGCCTTTTGCAGTTTGGAGCATGTGTCTGGCACCATTAGTCAGCTTTCTGAAAGAAACCCTAAGAATCCCTCATAAGATAAACCTGCATGAATAAATTATACAGTACAAGTTGCATATGGATTTTCAGTATGCTAGCCAGCTCTTCAGCAAATGTTTATGAGAATACTGTAGCCCACATAGAAAGTGTAATGATGGTGGCTCCCTGTTAATGAAAGTGGAATTATGCTGCACTGCAGTTATCACATACTAGTATGTGATAAAAATAGATACCTTGGCTATCCCATGGTTACATATTCCCATAGCTAGCCCTATTGCCAGAAAATAGTACTGTGTTTCTCTCTTTTTAATCTGGAAATCTATACAAAGCTCCTATTTCGTTGAGGTTTTAAAAATTCAGGATCATCCCATTCTTGTTTCCCTTTTCAGAGCATGACGAATGTGTAACCAACCAGCACAACTGTGATGAAAACGCGCTCTGTTTCAACACCGTGGGCGGGCACAACTGCGTCTGCAAGCCAGGCTACACAGGAAATGGTACCATCTGCAAAGGTAAGCTGCTGGAAACCTGAATGAGATGCTCTGTCATAGTTGATGCAATTCTGGTCATTTGCATCGGATGAGACAGACAAAATGCCAGGCTAGACACTTGGGTCCTGCACCTGTAGGATCTTCACAGGCACATATACACTGGCTTTGCATTTGGCAGTTTGCAGTAATTTGATGGTGACGCATACATAGATAGTAGGCTCTAAAATCCAAAGTAGTTATGTTTCATTTTTTTGTGTCAGCAGTTTCTATATATGATACGCCATTCAAGGAAGCCTTCAGTTAAGAAAGTTACGTCTGTGAAAACATTGTCAGATTTGCACTGTCCATGGTCAATGACTTGCTGTTTTACTTGGATGAACTAAAAATTGTTTGGTATGTCTTGCTGTAAGTGAGAAAAGCAGTAGATGTGGGCACATGAAACCTTTACTACAAGTGAGGTGGTGTCATGTTTTCTAACATTCTCATTCATTGCTAAACATTAGAACTTAAATTTCTAGTCTTAAAAGGATGCTTTCCCAGAGGTACAATGCTGCTTTTATTCCTGTTGCATTTCACATCAGAAGAAATGATACTTGGTAGTTGGGCCCAAATCCTTGGAAGATCTCATGCTGTGAGCAGAGGATATATATTGAGAATGCTTGAAAACACAAGCAGTGTAGCTGTAGGGGAATGAGCTCAGACATGAGAAGTAGGACAGATGCAGCAATATCATTCCCAGTGTTCCTTGAGGTTGTGCCTCAGAGATCTTGATCTCTTAAATGTCAGAATCTAAGGGTCCAGCGATAACATTGGTAATGTCACATAGATGTCTTCTGCTGCTGTCTGTTGCCAAATCTAAGCAACCCAGAATTTCTTTAATTGCTAAAAATTGATTGAATTGCTTAAATTGATTTAGGTCTTAGCACTAGTTATTCCATCACCTGTTAGCAGTACAATTTTTCTATATATTCCAAAGACAAGCTCTTTGTAAAACATGGCAGCCTGGTTCACTTCCAGTCAAACACATGAGTAGAGGGAGACATATCAGCAAATATATCCTTTTGTGCTGGGCTCTCTGGGGTATAAGAAGAAAGTCTTATCCTGATGAGGTTTAAACCCAGGCCATCTTCTTTCAGAAGAGCACAACTCATTCCTGTGCTGTGCTTAGTAGTAGTCCCAAATTATTCTGCTGTAGGTGAGTCAGCTACAAAAGATTTCTTTGGGTCAAAGAGAAGGTGTATAACCCTACAGCACTGTGTCAGCTCTTCTGAGTAAGAGCTCTGACTGCAGATCTGACAATTCAGAGTGCACCTGGCCTCACTGTGAAAGAAAAGTATATCCCTGCCCTCCCTCCTCAATATTGAGAAGACAATAAGCAGAAGAAAGCTCCCAGCCTGTGCATTGAAATCTGAGAAATGCACTTCTCTTCAGCCCTGGCTTGGATGCCAGTGTCCTTCAAAGGGACCTGGATGCACCTCTTGTTCCCATGCCTTTGCCAGCTTTTCATGCACTGTGCTGCCAGCTGCTGTCCTGTGCACCATGCACCCCTGGAGAAGGAAGCTTGGGTGTCTCAGTGGCAGTGGTCTCACACCAAAGGCTGGTGTCCCAAAACTGAGAGCTGGATAGCTCAAATCCGTAACAGTTTTCTCTCAGATGAGCCATAAGGCCTCATCAGTGGTGCTGTTACACAGAGCAGCTGCAAACCAAAGCCTGGCACCTCTGGCTGGTTACAAGTGCAGGGCCAGACCAGTGCCCCGAAGCAACTCTGTGTGTTGGTTGTAACTTCCATCTGTCTAGTTTTACCTATAGTTTCTTCTGGCCAGAACATTTCCAGTTCCATATTGCAGATGCAATCAGAGCAACTAACAGTTTCTATGTTTTCAATCAGAGGTGGTTACATTTCTCAGTCCACAGAAGTAGCTCTTTAAAGCAAACACTTCTGGAGAATATTACACCAAAATATATAAGCATGGCATGCCAAAGAACAAACCTAAGGATTGACTTCAAGCTGTAAATGCTTAAAGTTTTGAAGTTCTTCAGAATCCCATAAGACAAAATTAGTATTTTTACCATTTCTATTAAATTACTTCATGAAGGACCGAGGTAGCCAGACAGTTTAATACTCAGTTGTGCCTGTAATGTTCAGGCCTTTGTTTGGGCAGCAGAGCAGACCAGCACTGCCCTAGGAAGAGTCTGTTCCAAGGGAAGATGTTGTCTTTCACTGCTTCCCAGTGCATGGGAAGGAGCACATATGGGAGCTGTTGTCTTCAGATGATTTACTCTAATCTCCTCCTGTAGCTTGTCAGCCCATCTGGCAGTGAGGCAGGGGGGCCATAAACCATCTCTTTGTGACCTCTGTCCTTAGGAGAAGGCAGTCTCTGTGCTCCGTGCCGCACGGACGGCGCTCTGTGCCAGCCTGCTAGCAGAGACTGCGTTCACCTGCGGGACTGCTGAGTGTGACCCTCTTACCCATACACTGTGATTTTGCATTTTGCAGCATTTTGCAAAGACGGGTGTAGGAATGGAGGAGCCTGTATTGCTTCCAACGTGTGTGCCTGCCCACAAGGCTTCACTGGGCCCAGCTGTGAAACTGGTAAGATTATAACTTAATTTACAATGAAGATAATCCATGGAGGATGTTTGAAGTAATCCAAGAATAAAGGAGAATTTAAGTTTGTGCCCTGAAAGAGAAAACTGCCACTAAAACGTTACTCACTTTTCTTAAAGGCTTCCCAAGAGAATATATTACAGCAATTCTAATTAGAACCACATGGACTGCAAAAATTAGAACATGAATTAAGACATCTTGGGTTTTGATGTTTCATAATTAATAAGATTATTATGGACTTGCTTTTCACCTCAAATGGCCTTTGGTGTCTCATATAAATAACAGATAATCTGACATCTGGAAATAAATTCAAGTAACTGATGACTTCTGTGTTCCTGGTTCAGTAACCACCTTCATTTGCAACGTTATTTGAAGACTTGTGATTAACCCAGGTTACTTTACTCTGTTAGGGCAGGTTTCTACTGCTACAGTAGAAACAGTGTTCCTACTGCTTTTACCTCCTTTCACAAGCATTCCTTTATCTTCCCCTGCTACTCCTAAGGATGGCAGTACCACAAGACTTTGTTTTAGAACTTTATCTTTTAAGTCTTGGATCTAATCAAATTATATTGCCCAGCAGAGGATGTAGAATGTTAATTCTTAGCATCTCAAGTGCCTGTAAATAATTTTTCAAAGTTCAAATGAATAGCTTCAGCACCTTTATTTATTGCTGCAGAATTTTTAAATGCATTCTAAGCATACTTGCCTCCAGGAGGTAAAGATAGAAAGCTTGCTTAGATTAATTGGCTTCAGTATGCCTAATAAAAGGGCAGTCTGCCACCTATGATTGACTATTGTTGCTGTTCTATATTGCCTTTCATAAATCTTCCAAACAGTAGGAAGGAGGTCATTTGAGCTATTGCTTTCATCTGACTTGTAAACATATCCAGTTTAATGAAAAACACAGACCAGTCTGAATTCTGTATTATCTGGTCTGTTTGAGAGGTGAGAAATGTGGTTGTTTTCATTCTTCTGTACTTGAGCAGATATACCCACAGAGCACGTGAAAGACGCTGTGTGAAAAGCAGCATCCTAATTGTTCATCTATTTCTAAAACAATGTTAGAAGAGCAGGTTTTCAAGTATTGCTCATTATTTATTGTATAAGTATCTTATATGTATTTTACAGACTGCAAATACCGTAGTACAGGGCACCAAGGTCTCTCCATTGTCACACTGCTTGGAATAAATTGTATGCTAAGATAATGCTCAAGTATTAAAACAATTAATTTGTTTTAGTAACAGCTGTCTTACACGCTCCTTGAACTATTCCTGCTCTCAACTAAATACAATATGTATAGTTTCAAAGGGCATAATCATCTTCTGCAGCTTTATACTCCTATCTAAAATGTGTAGGCTAAAAGTATATTTGTTTTAGTCTCCTTCTATAGTTAATAGCCACTGTCAAAGAGAGGTTTTACTAGCTTTTCAGACCTGACCCTGGAAGTCCTGTCTGTGCTCCCTTCTTCATAGGACAATCCAGGGTCACTCAGTCCTCAATCCAGTAAATTCAAGTATCTTAAGATAACTTTAGTTAGATTAACTGCATTCAGCCCCAAATGTCCTTCAAAAGAACCTGAACTGCTGGCCTAACTTCACATCCTTCCTGCCCTTCAGGAAGCATATAGAGAGGCAGGCAGAGACTTGGAGCTCATCTTATGCCTTTCTGAATACCTGACCTCAATGTTTAACATCAGGTTAGTATGGTGGTGACCTGATACAACATAGCTAGTGAGAATGCTGCTATGATGTGGAGCCAATTTGCCAGCCCCAAACCAATTTCATAGCTCAGTTTTTTGAGGAGAAGACTCTCTCTCCTGTTTAATTTCTGTTGATCATGATATTTTTTTCCTATGGAAATAGTAGAAATAAATAATGCTAGAGGTCACCCACAGGAGCACAGATCTGGTCACCTCATGTGGAGACTGATATGCAGAGTAGGATTGTCATCGACTTGTGCATGGCTTTGAAACATACAGAATGAAATATGGTCAGAGTGGCATGGAAGAACTATTTGGTGGGTAAAGAGTAAAAGCTGATTTTTTTCTGAGTGCACTGTCAGAAAAATGGTGCTGTATACAGCCATAAAAGAAAACTGGAGCTTCAAACAGTACACATTCACTCATAGTGAAAGTAGCAGAGTTTTCTGAAGGTAGTTCTCGTTAAGCTTGAAATGTTTCAAGATGTTCGTACTACAAATAATTTATGCTGGAAGCTTGCCTTTGAACAGTCTCTATATCTACAAAGGTGATGCAATCTTCTCTAGGCAGATATCTTCCATTTGGATCACATACAGAGAAGGAGGAGGATTGATGTAAAGGTGTCAAGTCTGTTTTAAAATTGCACATCACTTATTTCTGTTTATGCTACACATATTTTAAAACTGCTTATTGAAGAATCTTGTGATTTTTACTTAAAATATATAGTTATGTAGACATTTTCAGCAGCTGCTGACCTATGAATTAATTAGCAGGAGATTGAATCCATAACCCAGCAATAACCTAGAAAATGCAATAATCAGTTCTTACTGTTTCCTTCTCTAAAAAGTGTTTTAAGACTTCTGCCTAAATAATTTCTCAGAATTATAGAAAAGAAAGGATGAAGTTGGACAGGACCATCTTGTCTAATACCTCTGCTGAGAGCAGGGTCAGATACAGATGGCTTCTACAGCTTGCATACAAGAATGTGCCCTGTTGGACTTAGAGTGTTTTCAGGGTTGAAGACTCCACAAGTTCTCTGGGCAGCCTTTTCCATTGTTCAACCATCCTCAGAGTACAAACAAATTATTTTCATTATGTTCACACGAAATTTGCTATTCCCCTAGTCCTTTTTCTGGGCACGACTGAGAGTTTCTAGCTTCCTTCAATGCTGTTAGGTATTTATAGACATTGATAAGTTTCCCCTCAGTCTTTTCATTTCCAGGCTGAACATCTCAACTCTATTAGCCTCACCTGGTAAGACAGATGCTCTGCCCCATTAATCATCTTCATAGCACTGCACTGGATTTGCTCCGTGTCTCTCCTGTACTAGGGAGTACAGTGCAAGATCCAGCACTCCAGAGAGGATCCTAGCAGCATGAAACAGGGGGGCACCATCATGTCCTGTGACCTGCTGGCAATACTCCTCCCAATGCAGCTCTGGAGGCTGTTGGCCACCTTTGCTACAAGTGCACAATGTTGCTTCATGTTCAGTAGCTTTTCCACTGCTCTCCTGGTGCCTGAGGTTGTTTCTTAATACTTGTAGGACTTTGCGTTTCCCTCTGAACTTGAAGATATTCCCAGTGGTCACTTTCTCCAGCCTGCTGAGATCCCTCTAAATAAAAACTTTCTCTTACCCTCAGTAAAACTATCTGGTGTACCAACTTCTCTAAATTTTGTATCATCTGAAAACATGCTGAGGGTGTTCTCTGCCTTATTGTCCAGATGTTAAGCAGTTCTGGCCCAGTACCTGGTGTTTTCCCAGGTGGATGTTGATTGGATGTTGATAATCTCCAAATGGATGTTGTATAGCTGATCAGAGCTCTCTGATGCTGGGCACTCAGCAGGTTTTCAGTCTATCTCACTGTCCATTTATTTAGCCTGCACTTTTTAGCTTGTCTCAGGATGTTATGTAACAAAAAGCCTTACTAAGATAACCAACATACACTGCACCTCTCCTGTTCATCAAACCTAGTCATCTTTAGAAGGCTATCAGTTTGGTCAGGCATGATTTCCTCTTCATAAATCAGTGTTCACTGTTCCAAATTACGTTCTTGTCCTTAATCTGTTTAGAGGATACCATCATCTTCTCAGGTGGGAAGGTGAGGCTGACTAATCCGTAGTTCCTCAGATCCTTGCCTTTTTCAAAGATATGAAGGATATTTGATTTCTTCCATTTCTGAGAAGCTTCTTTCAGTCATCATGACCTTTCAAAGACAATTGAGGTTGGCCTCAAATGTGACATGATCCAGCTTCCTCAGCACTCCTGGGTGCAACCAATCAGGTTTGATTGACCTGTGTATTTTCCCAATTTATTTATGTTGATCCTTCTCCACCATGGGTAGATTTTTCTTGCTTCAGACAGAATTTTCCACTGGTCTTGGTGACCTGGGACACCTGATTGCGAATCTTATCTATAAAGACCAAAGTGAAGAAGGCATTGAGCACATCACTGTGTAGAATTTGCTTTCCAAAACCCACCCTTGCATACTCAATCAATATCTATATTTCTCCCAAAGCCTGAGAGGGATGATGCTGTCCATGCTTAGGTCCTGCCTGTGCAACCCAAACTCAGTGCAGCTTTTGCAAAGAGAAGTGAAGTCCTGTGTACGTCAGAATGGTTGTGTACAAATTTTGCTTCCAAAATTGTACTTCTGGGGTGTCAGCAGTAGTCTCATTTCTTTTGGAAACATAAGAAGGAGAATCAACTATTGCTGCTGGTCAGCCATTTCAGTGTGCTGCATTCACTGTGGATTGTCTCACAGTTAACAGAGCACAGAGCTGCTACAACACCTTTGAATGATTTGTTGGGAATCCTTTAGATTCATCATGACCTGTGCCCTGTGGAAATTGATCAGTGGAATGAGGCAGCAGATGAAAGAATCATATGCAGACATATCAGCCCATACTACCTTTTTAAAGAAGTTGGTATTAAGCCATAAAAATGAGACTAAAAGCCATCAGGTCACAAAAATGAATGGGAGAATTTCTGTGTCTCCTCCCAAAGGATATGGATTGAGACATTATTAATAGTGAGAATGTATTCATTGGTTTAGGAAGGTGGGGTTTATATATTAAAATTTTTTTTAAGTTTTAAAAAGCATGCCAGCAGTTTATCAAGTAGAGCAGCTTATGCAGTGTAGAGATGAGACTACAAAGCAAATCTAAAAGTATTTGTTCCTGGTAAACTTTTTCAAAATACGTGACTTAATACTGTCTTCTTTAATTGCAAAATTATGAATTCTTCAATTGACATTTTTAAGTGCTGTCTTAAATTGTATTTGAAGTG